GAAACGAAATAGAATTACAGGCCTTTATCAGAATCAACCTCATGTTTGTATCTGTAGGAGTCTTTATTAAATCCTTGCTGGCAGTTTTACCCTAACTTGCTCATCATCTTATTGACATCCACTGAAGCCAATGTCCTAGCTAAAGTATTCCCCTCTGTCATCTTCAGTGGGTAAAAATATTTCTATGAGTATATGAAAATCTTGGCTGAGTTACAATTTCTTGCACCCTGGATTATTTTTAGACTTAAGTTCTCTGGTTTGTTTTTCTAGGATCCCCATGCTGAAGAGTTTGAAGACAAAGAATGGACATTTGTCATAGAGAATGTAAGCTGGAATGTTATGTTTTTTTAATACGTGTAAGACTTAATCATTTAAAAGATTAAAGGGTGTCCAAATGCTGAAAAAAGCTTGAGTAAAATTTAAAGCCTTGCTCCGTAGTAATAAAGGCTTGTTAAAATACCTATTGTTATGTTACAATTAAAATACAGGAGAGGGGAGTACTATACTACACTGCTTAAATTCCTTCCTTGTAAGCATCAGTCTTCCTTGCATTATTTTGCTATGAGCAATGGAGTAAACAAGTTAGAGCTGGGTTATGACTCATTGTTTTATGGGTTATGACACATTATTTTTCTACGAGCAGGGGAGTGAACAAGTCAGAGCTGGGTTATGACATCTGTACATCCCAAATGGCAGTGCACCCTTCCCGGTTTTGAATGCCACTCTTTAGCGAACAGCACATTTTCATCACCTGCGTTTTACAAGTGGGGAAGTTGAGGCAGGGTGGAGAGGTGGGACCAGCCATGGTCACCTAAGTGAAGAGCAAGAGAGTCATGACATGCCCCCTGCTCCCTGAGATCCCAGTCTCACGCTCTCTGTGTGTGGGAGCCATCTTGTGCACCCAGTGAAAACCCAAAAGGTGGCTCCTGTGAATCTCTGACTCCTCTGAGTCAGGAGCTCCCAGAACTTCCCAGAGAGCTGAGCTCCTGAGGGCTGTACAAACAACACGCTTTGCCAAACAGCAGGGCTTAACATTGCACAGAGCAAGTGCTTCATGAAGTACTTTTTTCCTTTCCCTTCTCTGTGTTGGGCTGCAGCTTCCGCTTTGGGGCTGCCTGGGCTGAAAAATGGGGGAGCTGCTTTACCTGGAGTTTCTTTGAAGAGGAAGCTTCTTTTTTTAAATACATTTGAAAGGACTGTGGTATCAAGACAATGTGTTTATCTCTCATTAATATAGATTATGGACTGTTTCTCAGTAACATGAGTTAATTTTTATGTCGTTTTTAAACAAAAAAAAAATACCGCTCTTTTACGGAGTTGTAGTCGTACCAGACAGCACTGAAGTATGGGGAAGCAATGGAATTTGCGTGTTCTCTTTTTTTGCCTAAAAATGCTGCTTTTTCTCTCCTGTTGATAACAGAAGCGATTTGGATGTCCAAAGCTAAGGTTTATTCTGATAGCCAGTGACTGAACGTTTAAAAGGGCTGAAAGCAAAGTGCTTAATTTATACTTTTGTTTTTAAATGCCAAGTTTCTATTTTCATTTATGAGACTTATGAATACAAAACAGTTTAGTTACTGTTTCCTGGAGTTTCCTTTTCTTTCTCACTTAGTTTATTTTAGTCAGGGAAGTCTCCATCACCAATTGTCACTGTACAAGTAACTGTGGATAAAACAATGTCAGTGTATTTCTCAGCCAACCCCCCTGGGTATAGTTGGATTTCCCATGACATTGCAGCAGATTTTTTTCAGAAATTTATAGTGGGCATGTAGACTTCATGTCCTGCTTTATAACACATTGCTTTTTTTCATGTCATCATATGATATATAGAGGTGGCAGTAGTACATTTGCTGCACGCTGTTCTTGCTCTCTGCCTCAAATCTTCTCTGAGCTGCAGTAATGCTTGCAGGGTAGGAGGTTGCTTCAGTTGCTGTGCCCCAAAACACGGCCTCTGCTGAAACAGATGGAGATGGTTCCAGTATGTATTGGTGATGGGGTAACCTTTTGTTATGTGCGAACTTACTCTTTACAACCTCAGTTATGCCATTAGTTCATCCCACAAGAACTGCCAAATAGTCATTGGTGGGTGGATGTTTATCCGTGGATTAGACCATATATAAACATTATCCTCAGAATAATAAATTTAATAAATAATTTTACTGCAAAAGTTATTGAGAGCTATAAAACCGGTTGCTTTCAATCGCTTTTTTTTTTTAAGATGAAACACTACTGAAAGCAGTAGATACTGCCAAAAAAAATCTGGTCTGCAAATATACTTGAAGATACGGAGAAACTCTTTTCTAAGAGTAACAGCTCCACTTAGTGGTGGATGAGAATATGTTCATCTGTTCGAGCAAGTAACGAATGATCCAATGGCTGGTTGACGTTTCAGAGCACAAAACACCTGCTTGTTAAAAATCTGGGAGCTGGGGAGGAGGCAGGAGGCTGATCTCTTCCATCCCTAAATTGTTGACATTTACCCCTTTCAGGCTTAACATATGGTTTTCCTGGTTTTAAAGGAGCATATTTATCATCGAATCTGACAAGGACAGGTCACCTTTGGGAAGAGTGGAGACACTTACAGCACTTTGGGGGCTTTTCCTTTTTGTCCCAAGTATGTTTTCTGCCCACAGAGGCTGTAAGGTTTCCCTTCCTCCTTGGTTGGCAACACTCAGAATGCAAAACACTGAAGCCTGAAAAGTTTATGGATGTTCTTTCATTATAAAGCAATCTGAATTCTGCTAAAAACATTTCTTTTGAGCTTTTTTTATTACTGTTAAAAATCAATCTCCAAAATAATTTTGTAATGCTTCAGTATGGCTGAGTAAAGATCAGCTAAAAGAGATAGTCAGCTGAAGTTTAATGCCTCTGCTGGCAGATCCTACCAAATTAAAAACAAGATTATTCTGGACTTTCAGAGGAATTTTTAAGTAGCGGTGAGGCGATTTCTGCAAGATAACCATGCTGTAAATGAAAATGAAGCAAGATATTTGTTTTTTTGGTTGATCTTTTTTCTTGTTTTGGGTTTGGGGTTTTTTTGTGTATTTTTTTTTAATCCTGCAAATACATGTACTTTGTGATCCATCACCTTGGTTATTGTAGGATTTTTTCTGTAACTGTATTTTTAATGTCTTAGTCACTCTGTATTTGTATTCTAGTAAGTCAACCTTTGTCATCTACCATAAATGGTATTATTTTGTCTAATCCATAAATAATTTGATCATAGCGCAGTTTCTTAATATTTAATGTTGATATTCATTTTCCGTCAGCCTCTTCCATGTCTTTACCTCCTTCACAGCTGCGTTCTTTGTATATTTACTGCTAACTTTCTTGTCTCTAATTTCATCTTTGTTTAACCACACTCTGTATTTGATTATCTGTTTTTTCTTCATGAGGCAGTTTTTGGAGTTGTCTTGTTTTCTGTGCTCTTCTGAATAATAATATCGGATGTTCAGATTGGCTGTTGCAAGTTGTAGAGCAAGAAATTCATAGCTAAGATTAAGACTTACCCATCTGTGGAGAGTTAACAGGCTTTCAAAATCTTACAGATTGGCATTAGTTTATTTTGCCTATTCAGTTTAGAGAACAAGGACTAGTTGCCTTCCATTTAAAAATATAAGCCACTTCCTCTAGTAAGTGATTTTTCTCTCTCATTGCTCCTGTGGGTAGTTGAACATGTGCTGTTTCCACATTTGGTTCCTTCCACTGTCTGAGCTCCAACTTCCAGTGTTAATTTTTTCAGCATTAACTTCTGATTTCTCTTATGAATTGCTTTCTCGGGGTTTCTGGTGGTACCAGTGCTCAACAAAGAGCCTCTGTGTGGCAAGAGACTCTATAAGTACCAGGGAAAACTCTCACAAACAGCATTAATGCCTCCATCAAACTTTCTGCGGGGTTTCCATGCTCTCCCATTTAAGTAAAAGAACAGTGCATGTTTCTAAATACATCTGTCTTAGCAGTAAAATAGTTTTCAAGTGAAGTGGCCTATGTTGCAATTGTTAAGCGTCCCCTCAGAGGTGCCAAGAGGAGGGCAGCTGATGAGTTTTAGTCAACTTGAAATGAAGACTGCATCTCTAAGAAGAGTTCAGCTGACCTGAAGTTTGGGCTATGTTTCTTGATCTCTGCAGATTGTCTAGCTACTGGAAGAAGAAAGGGACAGGAGGGAAGAGTAGATGTTTAAATTGGTCCAGATATGTTGAAGCTTTCACTGGCTCTTACGTACAAGAATGCTGTCTAAAGTAAAGGTAGCTGAAGTGATGGAAAAAATGTCACTTTGCTTCCTAGCATGCTCAAAGCATGGAAAAGCACATAAGAACATCCACTGAGGATGGACCATTGCATTTGCCTGTTTGCTGACAGCTTTGTAGACAGCTACCTCCTACATTCTAAAATGAAATTGAAAAATTCATAGGATGTTTTCAGAGGGTAAAATATTTGGTCTAGGAAACAACTTTTCCAGCTTTTTGTAGCAAATGTTCTTTGAGCCCAGATTTGTATCTCTAATAGCTAATAAATGGCATACTAATATATTCCAAGGTTCATAGTAGGCTTCTTTATCTTTCCTAATGTGCTGTCATGGTTTAACCTCGATTGGCAACTAAGCACCACGCAGCCGCTCGCTCACTCCCCCCCTCCCGATGGGATGGGGGAGAGAATTGGAAAAGCACGTGAGAAAACTTGTGGGTTGAGATAAAAACAGTTTAATAATTGAAATAAAATGATAATGATAATAATATGATAATAGTAATAATACACAAAGCAAGTGATGCACAGTACAATTGCTCCCCCCCCGCCGACCGATGCCCAGCCAGTCCCCAAGCAGCGGCCCCCCCCGGCCAGCTTCCCCCAGTTTATG